TACCTCTTATATTCATAATCATTTTGCATATATTTTAACGTTTCATTTAATTCACTTTCTCCATCTCTCTTCGTTGTCAAATTTACTATTTACAAATAATGGACAATGGAAGATTGTGAAGCGTCGCTTTTTTTTTCAAGTGCGAAATGCCAGCTTAAATTTAAACATTAGAAGCTCTTCCATCAATATACGCAACTATTTCATTCACAACGCAAGTCGCTATTTATCCGTTATTCAAATTTACTAAACCTAACTTTGTCCTGTACTAAGCTAAATGAAGAATCATTTGGTAGGAAGATTGTATTGCAGCAATTTCCTAATTAATTTGAGCCTACCAATCTGCTTTGAAAATCTTCTTTTTTTTTACCTAAGCCCGAACACCAACCCCTGTTCTCAGCAGGAAATAATGTACACTCTTCATTTATGTTTCTTGTTTTCGTCAGAATGTACGTAAGATTTTTGTTATATTTTATCTCTTCTATTCTGGTTTATTATCATCGTCATTATTATTATTATTATTATTATTATTATTTCTACGTTTTATAATTTTTTTTTTTTCCATCTGAGTTAGGCTCGGTCAGCTCCTGGACGTCGGTTTTCATTAAACAAGTTTCATGTTTATCCGCGTAAGAAAATTTCCCATTGCTCGTAAAAACCTGAATCCTTCGTCAAAAAATAAAGCCTAAAATGAAACTGACACATACTGACGTATTTTCCTTCTCATTTCTATCTCTCTCTCACAAACACAGACACACACACACACACACATTATATATATATATATATATATATATATATATATATATATATATATATATATATATAGTATTAATATATATGACGACGTACTTAAACCAAGGTATATGTGCGTTCTTGAAAGTATATGTGTCAGCTTCTATCAATAATTTGACTGCACTTTTGGGATGATTGATGCAGATCACGAAAAGATGTAAATAAGATATTAATTTTTTTTTATGTGAAATTCCTCGCTGCAGATGCACACTGCACATTGAAAGAATGCAAATCTTAACTCAAACGTGTAACCACCATAGCCTGCAATTTCTCTACAATGAATTAATTGCACCTTAATTCAAAACATCACACCGTAATGAAAGATGAAAATCCGTTAATATTCCACTGTGTATTTTTTTTCGATCCTTCGGACACACGCGACAATGTCTGCTGCACTCCCCGCTGCACAATTGCACGCTCAACAAAGTCAGGGAACCTATATAGTACCTTATTTTACTCAATGTTTTATCTTTTTATACAAAGCTGCATATTGTCGTGTAAGTAAGACAAATATAAAATTTATAATATCTTAATATATATATATATATATATATATTAAATCAAAATCCAGGTAGGCAGTGACTGGCAACGGCTGCTAGTTTCATGCGTTTGCACACAATCCTCAGGCGGCCAGTGGTTGTAGTTTGTATAATGGATACCCTATATACCTTCAAGCGTCATCAATATAACGAGCAAATCAAACCCGCCCGGTGAGAGAGTAAACGAAATTGATGACTAAAATAACATGATCCAATAGAGAAATTAATAAATTTTCTCCAATAACACTGATTTATTTACTGCTTACTTTAACCCGTCTTAATAAAACACCCTTATATATAATCCGACTTAATGAAACACCCTTTATATATATATATATATATATATATATATATATATATATATGTTGTGGATTCGAGATGAAATCCGGTACAAATAAATAACAAAGGCCAAGAATGAATAATGGAAAATAATGTATTAATGTAATAATACAAACTGGTAATGCAGGTTAGTAGTTCCAGGAATACGGGTTAGTAGCAAAATATCTATACAGTCTTTGGTATTGAAGTTTCGCTGTATGACTTCTTACTGAGCCCACGTGTTCGCTCAAGGTGACTCTTGCTCGCTACGTTCGTTTTGTCTGTCTGTTACCTTCACCCTCTGTTGCTCTCGTCTCTCTGGCCTTCACGTAGTAGTAGTATATGTATATACTGGATGAGTCCATTTGTGTAAAAAGGAGGACCCCTCAACAATATATATATATATATATATATATATATATATATATATATATATATAATATATATAAAACTAATAAATACAACTGAATATGTTAGTTCTATCAATGATATTAAGTACTGCGCATATATGTATGTATGTATGTATGTATGTATGTATGTATGTAAATTCAGATGATGAATCCATGAAAAGTCATGAAATAGTTATAGTTGGTCACTGTTCATCGTAAATTTAATTTATATATATATATATATATATATATATATATATATATATATATATATATATATATATATATATCAATTAGATTTACGATGAACAGTTACTAATATATATATATATATATATATATATATATATATCAATTAAATTTTCGATGAACGGTGTCCAACTATGACTGTTTCATGACTTTTCATGGATTCATCACCTGAACTTGCACCTGAAAAATGATTAATGCTTCAAAAATGCTTTGATTTGAGAAATCTTTCTGATTCGAAGATTTCCCTGAAAACTTTTTCACATCAAAACCTGCGGAACTTCACTCAAAATGTATCAAAGAGCTTCCTGCCGCGTGGCAGCAACACCTTTGAAATAATGGTGGATATATTACTGAATAAAAGGTAACTTAATTTTATTTTTTCCAGACTCAACTTAATGCATTGAGGGAAGAATTCAATTGTTTTTGTTTTTTTTTACGGTTTATCAACCCTTTCTGGGTTAATTAAAGCCGAAATATATTTCAGTTTCAACTACTTACAGTACTCGGTGTTCCCAAGCGAAACTCCATCTAAATATTGACCGGTCTTGACACTGTTTATCTTTGTTAATCAAACGAGAACCAATGTTTTCAATTTGCATACGCACTGATGGAGAGGCGAGATTACGTTGAAAAAAAGCGATCGAAAGACAATGTGCTTGGATATATATATATCAAGAGACAATGCGCAAAAGGCTGAAAGACAAGGAGGAATTCAAAAAAGGACTAATGTTTACGAAGTATAAAAGTTTGTTTTGGAGAGACAAGGAAAAAGAAAGATAAAAGAAACCATGCAGTAGATTTTTGTTTTATAGATGGCGACAAAGATAATGTAAATAATGTACATAATACCTCATCTCAGAAATATAGACAGATTCTAATTGCCTCTTCTAAAGAAAAACAAAACTACTAGAATGCATATTAAACTATAAAGTTCTATTTATTTGCCTAAATGCTATTGACTTAACATGGCAATAACATATAAGAAATTACTGTTTACAAAGCTTGGTACAAGACTATTATTATGCAGCAGACAGTGAGGATTGAACTACTTAGCAAGCTAATCTGATTGATAATTACTACTAACTTATCAACTCTAAGATTTCATGACTTTAAAGGTTAACAGATTGCGACGTCTATCAGAAAGATTAAATTTAATTTTTTATTATTGCATTACTCCAGAATTTTACTGCATAAGCAGATAGCTATTAATGCCAACAACTGAGCACAAATAATTATTAATTAAAACAATTAGTAATTAATGTATATTATCCGTAACTACATATACATATCGTTTTTGATAAATAAAATAACCATAAATCCATAAAAAATGCGTATATTGTCGAAAATTCCTTTTACAACAATAAAGCTATTTGTGCTGTTATGATGCTTAATACGTAAACAATAATAATACTGAATATTTTTTTAATATTAAAGAATATTTAATCACATCTCCCTAATAGCTGTCGCGATCTGTTAAAAAACAAAGAAAAAAACATTAGGAGCCTTTGCACACCCAATATGTCTATTTGAGGACTTAAAATCTATTAGGTATGTATAAAAGTTTTCATCCTGATCCACCACCAAGTTTTAGTTTAACAGATTGCAACATCTATCAGAAAGATGAAATTTAAATTTTTATTATTTCATTTTATTCAAAAATTTTATCAAATCAGCAGATATCTATCAATATCAACAACTGGGCACAAACAGTTATTAATTAAAACAATTAGTAATTAATGTATAATATTATCCGTAACTATGTGTACATGAATGTCGTTTTTTATAAAAGTTTAAAAAATAACCATTGTATATTGTCCTAAATTCTTTTTTTCCACTATATAGCTATTTGTGTTAATACTAAATATTTTTTAAACATCAAAGTATATTGAATCATATCTCCCTAATAGCTGTCGTGATCTGTAAATAAAAAAATCGTCAATCATTGGAATAGTCGGCCCAGTCGTTGCAATGAAAAGCAAGAAAAAATAAAATGAAAGAAATCTTTTATGCATCATGTCCTTTCAGGACGTTAGCGATCATGGCTCTTCACAATTTCCTTTCTCGGAGAGGTGATATTGTTATTAACAGATGGCGATATCTATCAGAGAGATGAATTTTTTATTATTGCATTATTCCCAAATTTTAACACATCAGTAAATAGCTATTAATGTCAACAACTGAGCACAAATAGTTATTAATTAAAAAGAATTAATGTATAATATTATAAATAACAACACGTAAAAGAATGTCGTTTTTGATAAAAGTAAAAAAAAAAAATAATCATAAATACGTAAAAATGTGTATAATGTTTAAAATTCCTTTTTTTTCCCACAATTTGTGTTATGTTATAATACTTCAACAATAATAATACTGAATAATTTTTTTAAACATTTAAGTATATTTAATCACATCTCCCTAATAGCTATCGGTGATCTCTTAATATATACTTTTTTCTTTTCATTCTCTTCTTTTATATTAATTCATCTATTTGTTTTTATATCTGAGACTTATCCATGTTTATATGCCTCGTTTCGATACAAAACAGGAAAGGGTAACTAAGATTGAAACCCATTAGGGAGAGAATAAGAAGATACAATCATTGTTTGAGAGGAGAGCAGAATCATGACATAGTGGAAAATTTTACAGGTTAAAAATAGTTATATAAATACATAACTATTTTATTTGCCAAACAAATTCTCTATTCGCCTCTATTCGATTATATCACTTTGAAATACCGGCTCCCGTACGATCACCGAAGTTAAGCAACGTTGAGCCTTGTCAGTACCTATATGGGTCAACGCTTGAGATTTCCAGGTGCTGTTAACTTCGATGTGCGGATGTTATAATGGATAACAGTTTGGAATTGGAAATCGGAAAGTCGAGTTCAAATTTCAGTCGGGTTCTTTATATTCACTCACGCGCATATATCCTTGAGAAAGGTATGAATCCACCATTTCTCCCTCCATCTATGGGTTAATTAGTAAGACTTGTATCACTGAATCTTTATTATCTCCGCCAAAGAAATTCTTACAATCTAAAAATATTTTTTTGGATTTAAATAACAAGCGAAAAGATAATATGTCGTCAAAAACGAATCGATCAATCATTGAAATAGTGATTAGCTCCATATATTTATTTATAGTCTCTGAATAAGAGTACGTGGCTGAGTGGTTAGAACGTTCGAATTCTGACAATGAGACCCGGGTTCGAATCTAACTATAGTCAATTTGTCTGATGTTATCGGGTCACCTTTGGAAAATGCCTGAAAACCATACCACAGGTTGACCCAAGCCTTGTGGGTGAAATTGGGTAGACGGAATCCTTGGGTGCCGTTGATAGCGAGCACGAAGTCACAAGTCATCGTTGCCGAGGGATTGAGCGTGCTGGCCTTGATCAAATTGCTGATCACGCTAGATAACAAGCAATATAAACCACAAATGGGCACTGTAGGTGAACACAAATGAGACTGAGCAAGCGTCTGCAGCAGGGATTTGCTAGCCGCCCTAGTAGTAGTATCCTCGAATACGAATGGCCAGCTATATATACAATCTCTGGAGTATAAAAACGACCGTGCTCACATAAGCAGGATCAGTTTATATATCGGTTGGAATGTAGAATTGATCCCCCACTTTATATCTACATTTCTTGTGTGTTTATCATATTTTGATTGGTTATGAATACATTTCATCTCCTCCAGCTATGGGCTAATTTGTAGGACTTCTATCAGTGAAATCGTTATTATCTCAAAAAAAAAATGATATTTAACAATCAAAAATATTTTCTATCTTTAAGTAAGCGGCGAAAGGTTAATTTGTTTATTATGGCTTATCAATCAATGAATTAATTCTTTTAGCCTTGAACACGTGGTACGAGTCATCTTGGATCCATATTTGATCGCCGTTCGCAAATGTCTCTTTCCGTATTACTAAAGCAATGAGACAGTCAAATTCACTACCAACGACCTGAGAGAGTAAAGCTTTCCTCTTTGCTCAATGTCAGGCGTTCATGTAATCATGACGTTATTATTGGGACTGATATAGGTAGTAATTTTACGATGACAGTCGTGGACTGGCGCGAAATCTGGCTCCTTTTTAGAGTATTAATTAACCCGAAAATTGAGACCTTAAATGTAAATTGGAAAAGCGACCGCCTGCAGGCTGGATTTACTTGCCAAATTATTCCAGTATCCGGCCATGGCGAGAAGCCAAGAGATGACGTATATAGTTCAGGTGCACTTCACAGTAGTAACTTGTTTGTTCACTTTCACTTTCAATTTTATAAATAAACTCGGGTTATTTAGGGTCATCGGCTATGAATTCGAAAGGAGTCATTTAAAAAAGATTAATTTGAAATAATTAACTTTTTTCACCGGGCGCTTTAAGCACGTCATCATGGAAAGTTTGCGCCAATAGTCATTGCTTCTCACGCAGGCGGGAAGGAGTGAAGACAGTGGGTAACTTTCGCACAATTCGGTAAAATTGTTTTTTCTTCGGGTAACGACATTCGATAGAATACACATTTTCTTCCCAATGATTCGATCTATGTTTATAAATGTGGCCTCTATGACGACTGGCGCTATAGAATTATAAAGAAAAAGCGGTACCTACCAAGCAACAGAAACCTCATCATTCGAGAACTTTCAACAGTAACAACAACTAAAGTGAATATCACTCGTAGAGAAAATAACATAATCAAGATTGTGACATTCCAGACTACTTCGAACAAAAGGTTAGGAAGGAAATCCCCTCGTGTTAATTTACTAGAATTAGTATGAGATTTTTGTGTTGTTTTTTAGCGTGGGTGGGGGAGTGAATTTCATATTAACCCATGTTAGGTTATTTCATTTCGAAATGTTTTTTTTTTTTGTTATTATTTTTAATTATACAGTACACAGCATATTTCGAAAAACAACAATTTCAACGGGCATATAGCAGCAAAATCATAGGAATAGAAAACAGACTTGCTGAAAAGAAAATCTAACAAGTGATGCTGGATGTCATTTTTAGAGATGAATTTAAAATAGTGTCCCATTCCAGTGCAATCGTACATGTAAGAAGACCAGTGGGAGAAACACACAATGCAAGATACACCACAAAGACGGTAAAATTTAGTGATGGAGACGTAATGGTGTCGATTTCCATCACACGCGATAATAGAAGAGAATTATTAAACGTTTATGAAGACCTAAACAGTGAAAACTATATAAGTTTACTACTGTTTAATATTCTGCCAGACATTTAAGATGGAGAAATATTTTATCATGACGATGCTCCTTCACACACATCACGTGCAGCAAAAAGGTTTCTTGTGGATGAAGATGTGCAACTATTGGAAGACTAACCAGCAATAAACATTGTCCGGGTGAATATTTGAGTTTGTAGCTAAACATTGGGAGTTTTCTATGGTTAAACTTTGTTTGGGTTTATGGCTGAATTTATAACTAAAAATAGAAAGCTTTTTTGTGTATGTGAGTAAACAATGATAAGGTTTATACTTATGCCGATGAAAAAAATTAGGGGTGGGTACATACTTGTATCTATATATGAGCAGTACCCGAGTATATACTTACGACCATAGGTAAAATGTATACTTGAGAGTATGGATAAACGTTACTTGCTTTATGTAGCTAAATCTTCTTCAGTCGTGTTTTAACGAAGGACAGCAAGTATGATACCAAAAACTGAAGGCGTATGGAGATATGGAAAGAGATCTTTAAAAAAAAAAAAGGTAATTGAAATATCAAGAAAAAGGAAAAGAATACTTAATTGTTATGTAATCTCGGTCCTCCTCCTATGTGGCAATGAATACTTGACATTCTCACCGCAAATGAAGAAGAGGCGAGTCGACAGAAATGTGGTTCTACAGAAGGATGCTGAGAATTTTTAGGGAAAATGGAAACAAAAAAAGAGACAGCTGAAATTTCATGGGTATATAATGAGGAAAGAAGGTTTAGACAATTTGATACTCACAGGGCGTATTGAAGGCACGGCCTAAACTTAGTAATCTTCTCTAAATGGTTGATAGAAAAGGGATTAGGAGAGATAGCGAAAAGAAAAAAAATGCTAAGAGGTACAAAGAGATGAAGTTGTGACAAGCCTTGATCGCCCATGCTTTGAAGGGACATGGTCTGTACGTAAGCAGTGGTCAGGTAAGCCTATGGGTAAACATTGATTGTCTTTGTAATTGAGTTTATAGGTAAAAATTGGTTAGGTTTAATCTTCAGTCTGTAGGTCAGGATTGTATATAAGTCTATAAATAAATATTGGTTATCTTTTATGCTTGAGGTTGCAAGCATCCAGCCGGTTGGTACCCCGTTATTGATTATTACTCTCTCTCTCTCTCTCTCTCTCTCTCTTGGGGATATGATAGAGTAATAAATTACGGCTCAAATTGAGGAATCGGAGAGCCGAGTTCAAATTCCATTCGAGCTCATTACACTCAATTATGTGCTAATAACCTTGAGAAACGTATGAATTCAAATCTTCTCTCCCCAGCTATGGGTAAATAGTACGACTGGGTTCTATAGCCTTGGTTGATGACTGATCTAAGAAATAGAAAACTGGCTGGAGAGTGTGGGCTTCATCTGGTTATCACGGCTTCCACTGCAGCTGCAAAACGTGTGGTGCCCCTGCGACCCTGATGAGTACGGGATTCGCGATTGTGATTGTCTCTACAGAGGATGCACTAGGTATTTGAGTGATCGGTGTTAGTTATGTATATAAACAGTTTCAGCCATTAATTAAAATTAAATTTAATTATGCACAGCTACAAAATATCTTTAAAAAATTGTCGTTTCGTAGGTCGATTTCAGTTTCGAAATGACTACTGACCACAAACATACGACAATTTGACACTAACATTTCGTGATTTCGACCCCATAATGATGTCAGATACAATCATATGTACCTAACAATGCTTACAAATGTAAAATAAAATAAGAATTATCATAAAACTAAATTAGAATAATATTATTCTATGTTTAAAACCATTTTTTTTTAAATAAGAGCAGGAAACGCTAGCCGTAATGAATTGGAGAGGTACAATTTATAGGGTTTGATTACCAAACAAGGAATGCGTATTATGCATGAGTAGAAGCATTTTCCCACACTTTCACTAGAATTTTAGGTGTGCGTATTATGGATGAAGGCGTATTATATATGCGGAATTAGAGTAAATTATTTTAGCATAGTAAGTTATAGAATCAGATATATGATCAATGGTCAGGAATTAAGTCAAGTGTTACTAGCTGAATATGGTTTATAATAAAAATACCGTGTTAATGATTTATGTATATAGAATGCAATTTTTAGAAATGGATTTTTCATTTATTAATCTGAAAAATTTTAATTTATTGCTTAAGCGTTAATTTTAGTGGCTGTCCATATTTGAGTAGACGCCCCGTTGATTTATTTAGCAGTAGATTTATTTATTACTAGCAGCATGGCTCGGCGTTGCCCGTGCTTGATTCAAAAAACGTACAACCCATACAGCAATTGCTATCACTTGACTTAAAATATTTTTGCCCTTCCTTGCATTTAAAGGAGTACCCTTTGCCGTGTTGATGTTGCTAAATGCCTTACTTCTTGCCTATCTCACACTGCGAATTTTTTTCTAAGCTCTATACTAAACATTAAATCTGTTACGCAAAAAAGAACTAAACAAAATGAACACAAAATGATCAGCTTTAAAAAAGGACTCGTAACTGGAAAAACCGAATGAAAAAAGAATGTTAACAACAAATACTTTTTCACCACCAACCCAGTTCTGCGGAATCAGAATCAACGTTGAGTTTAAGCAAGCGAATGAGCCAATTGGAGTAAAG